AAGAGGGTGACTGAAGATGGAGATGGGAATTCTATCCAAATGGTGCAACAAGACTTTTATAAAGTGTTGGTGCTGGCTGTGTGTTGGGGATGCCATTGTCCCAGCTCCTGTGGGACTTATTTCCAGGTGAGGGTGCAAAGGATTTCAGCCTATGTCATCCGATGGAATTCCTGGCAAGATCATGAATGTAAACTGTGAAGTCTCTAAAGATGTTTTGTGGTAGTTTTAATGATATTTTTTTTCAAAAAAAAAAAAAAGGGAAGAAAAGCTCTCAGATTAAGGTATTGTGTGGCTTTCCATTTGGAGGAGGACATCACAACATTCTTCACATCAGATTAAGTCTCCTTTTTCATGTCCTTGGAAATGGACTTCATTCACACAGCCAGGGCTGGAGACTTTGAAGCAAGCAGTGCTTGACAGCCTATACTCTTCCCGGCGAATGGAGCTATAACTGTTCTGGCATATCGGTTTGCTATCTTTATTGCAAGCTGGCAGATGCTTTTCGAGCATTCGAAATGTAAATAAAAGATGGCAAGGGGCAACTGGATATGAAATAAAGAAGAGCAACACCTACAGAGCAAAAGCATTTGGTGAGCTCTCTGACTAACGCAGTTGGCTCACTTGATAAATCTTTTAGCAACTTCTGATTTCACAACAGTCCATGCGCTAAAGAGCAAAAATGGAAAAGAGTAAGTTTAACTCCTGGTTTTCTTTTTCTTTTGTGAAGGTTGTTGTTGAAGATGCACCAGATATATTTATTCCACACCAAGGAATGAAAACATAAGACACAACAGCTAGATGGATATTCAGGGTTACAACTTTATCAAATTCTTTTAACCAAGCCACAATGCATTCCTGCAGTTAAATCGCTCGTTCCACTAGTAGACTCATGCCAGTAGTAAGCCCAGTGCATTCTGGTAGTTAAAAAGGCTCAATGCTCCTTGCCCTTTCAGTGCTCATCAGTTCACATGCAGCTGCTGCTGAAATGAGAGCTATAGAAACAATTTTATTTCATAGCTGAACGAGATATCAGGAGTCATCTATTTCAGCTGAATGTGGGAATGTGTAGTTAGAAAGTACCTGACAGATGGTGACCATCCAAACTCATCTTAAATGCCTCCAGCATCTACGGATGCCTAGCCTGGCTCAAGGCAATGGAGCCCTAGTTATATAGTTATTTGCGCTTCACTGTCCACTCACTGTAAAACAGCCTTTCCCCAACCTGATGCCCCTCCAGCCCGTCTGGCAGAGGCTGATGGCGGAAGCAACTGGATGGCAGAAGCACCGGGTTGCAGGAGGTTCACCTATAGGATGTGTGAATGGAGGCTTTGACAGTGTCACTAGCAATCCCCATCACCAGCTAGCAAGCCTTAGAGTTAGTGAGGCCATGAAGCTGTAGGGTATTTCCTGTCCCAAATTATCTCAGTTTGACAGCCCATAAAAGGTTGGTTGAAATCGGGGGGGAAATCCTGTGCAGTTCTGTTGGAGTCTGAGGCCTACGCTGAAAGTGATGAATACCACACACACATTCTTAATACGGTCCAAAGACCCACAAAAGCAGTTTCGAAGCAAAATACAGCAGGAATACAAGAGAAAATTCCAAGACAGTCATTATGTTTTTACCAGGAGCATGTTGATTCCTAATTCTTATTACCTCCAAGAGAATTTTTTGCCATAGCTAGGTTAATATCATTTGTCTGATCTTCGAGAAGATACTTGAGATAGAGGGTTTCAGAATTTCCACGTAAATTTGCCATTAAGGGTTCAACTAATTGATCTCTGGCCCACAGTGTAGTAGGATACACTTCATACAATCAACAGCCTGAGAACTTAGCAAAGTCTATTCCGATAAGGTATGCTGATCAGTTTGCTGTTGAGAACTTCAGATGGAAATACATTTAATCTGGTTTTGGCAAACAATAGGCGATAGTTCAGTACCCAACTATAATCAATGAATACCAGAGCTTCTTTCAAGTCCAGGTGAGGGCAATGCAAGTCAGCACCCTGGACAGCTCCCAGCGGGCTCTGCTCACTTGGAAAGATGTTGACTCAGCAAAGGCTTAAAGCTAGGGTTGGGACAGATTGAAAGAAGGTGGGACAACCCACTTGTCAGCCATATGATGGCAGGTAGGCTGCCCTGCTGACCTATCAGAGTTGACCCACAAAGTGGTTGTGGTGGAGGAAGGCATTTGCTTCATTGGTGTGTTCCCCACAGGAAGTGCACTGCTGAAGCAGCACCCCGCAGGATTGAACTCTCTGCTCCCCAACTGATGAACAGAGGGCTCCATCCTGCTCCCAGCAGGGTCTGCTTCACCAGGGCAATCCCTGCTGGTGAGGATGTGGACTGATGGACGCGGATGTGCAGAATTCCATCCTGCTGGGTGCTGCTTTGCCAGCGCATTCCCTGCCCCGACCCATCAGCTGACATCACTGAGTGACATCAGCTGATGGATGGGTTAGTTGGTTTGGGGGGAAATGGCTTATGGATCAAGAGTGGCCTGAAGGCCAGAGGTTTCCCATCCCCGACTTGGAGCAATCTGTTCTTTAAAAGGCTGGCACTATCCCACTCCACAACTCATGAGAGCTATTTGCAGTGTCAAGAGGGCCTGTTGCCTATTCTGCAGACGTGTGATCTTGCATGGTGAGGGTGAAGCAGGAGAGGCCTCACATTCCAAGGAGGAGTCAAGAGCCACAATCTTGGGTTCCCCCACCCTGAGTGAAGTGACTGGTGTATCATATGGAACAGCGCCCCCTTCAGGACCTAGAGGCAGGAGACATGGCAAAACGCTTCCTTTGCAAGTCCAATACTTCAGGATACGCAAGCATTGTATTCTACTTCTCTCCTACCTGCCTGCCATTTGTAAACTATGCCGAGGAGCAAAGCGATCCATTAAACCAGGGGTCAGCAAACCTTTTCATCAGGGGCTGGTCCACTGTCCCTCAGACCTTGTGGGAGGCCGGACTATATTTTGAAAAATATAAATACCCTGCAAGCCAGTTGCGCAGCTGCCTCCGGACTTGGAGGAGGAATGCAATCTGCATGCGCTCAGGAGCGCATCTCGGCGTCGCCCACTCACCGGCGTTGTTGACGAGCAGCAGCTGCTCCATCAGCCCGTCCCCGTGGAGCTTCCAGGTGGCGTGCACCACACGCTGCAGCTGTTGTCCGACACCAGGTCGGTGGGCAGGCCGCACATGCAGAGCGCCGGGCAGACGGCGTGCAGCTCACTCTCCAGCTGCTTGAGCATGGCCACTGAGCGCGCCACCAGCAGCAGTGCTGAGCCGGGTACCAGGTGCGGGGCCAGCAGGCGTGCCAAGCCCATGGCACAGCTCAGACCCGCCACCCGCCCGCCAGCTTCTCTGTCCTTGGCCGTGCCAGGTTTACCACAGCGGGTGGCCGGCAAGGCATCAGATTGGCTGCAGGAACTTCCTGCAGCCAATCCGAAGCCGCACCAGTATTGCCGTCTGCCCAGAAGCTGTGCCAGCATCGCAGAAGTCAGTCCCCACACAGCGAGGCGTCCGCAGTGCGCGGGGACTAACCAAGCGGGCAGCAGGGTCCGCGGGCTGGATTTACGAGTCTGGGGGGCCGCATTCGGCCCCCGGGCCTTAGTTTGCTGACCCCTGCATTAAACCCATTCCTGGTTTCTCCCAGCTAGGCAAAGAAGGCAAAACCCTGCAGCAAAAAATCCTTCCCGATGGGCCAAATCAGGAACCAGAGCTCCCCCAAAGTATCCCAGCACAACAGAAAGTGAGGGACTCATATTTCATTATGTGGATTCTGAGCTGGGGGGGGGCAGACAACTCTCCCAGTGATCTACTTAGTAGGAAGTGGGAAGCCTTAGAGGCACACTCATGCCTGCTTCTCATTGGGCACTCTCCACAGGGACAATGAATAATAATAATAATTATTATTATTATAATAACATTTTTTTTATTTGTATCCCGCCCTTCCTGGCCAAAGCCGGGCTCAGAGCGACTAACAACAAGTAAAAACAGCACAATGTACATAAAATGACACAGTCAATTAATTAAAATACATTCTAAAATCAATTCAGAATCAAATTAATGGCAACCATTGGGCTAGAATTCTATGAGGATTACAGAAGGAGAGAGGGGGTCAGACTGTGCCTTGGCCAAAGGCCTGGCGGAACAGCTCCGTCTTGCAGGCCCTGTGGAAAGATGTCAAGTCCTGCAGGTCCCTAGTCTCTTGTGACAAAGTGTTCCACCAGTTCGGGGCCATGGCCGAAAAAGCCCTGGCTCTGGTCAAGGCCAGCCAAACCTCCCTGTGGCCCGGGATCTCCAAGATGTTTTTATCTGAAGACCGTAAGGTCCTCCGTGGGACATACCAGGAGAGGCGGTCCCGTATGTACGAGGGTCCTAGGCCGTATAGGGCTTTAAAAGTTAAAACCAGCACCTTAAACCTGATCCGGTACTCCACCAGGAGCCAGTGCAAATGGTATAGCACCAGGTGAATGTGATCTCGCAGTGAGGACCCCGTAAGGAGTCTCGCCGCGGCATTCTGCACCCGCTGGAGGTTCTGGGTCAGTCTCAAGGGCAGCCCCATGTAGAGTGAGTTACAAAGTGGGCTTAGTCTGTCCTGAAGCCTCGTACATTGTTCCCTTTTAAGTTAGGGAGGCTTTTAGTGGAGGTGAGTCCACTGCTCTCTGAACATTCAGACGTTTGCATTCGTCATTCAATTGCATTTGATTTAAACTATGATTACAGGACGGGCCGTGGGTGGCGCTGTGGGTTAAACCACAGAGCCTAGGACTTGCCGATCAGAAGGTCGGCGGTTCGAATCCCCGCGACGGGGTGAGCTCCCGTTGCTCGGTCCCTGCTCCTGCCAACCTAGCAGTCAAAGTGCAAGTAGATAAATAGGTACCACTCCGGCGGGAAGGTAAACGGCATTTCCGTGCGCTGCTCTGGTTCGCCAGAAGTGGCTTAGTCATGCTGGCCACATGACCCGGAAGCTGTACACCGGCTCCTTTGGCCAATAAAGCGATATGAGCGCTGCAACCCCAGAGTCGGTCACGACTGGACCTAATGGTCAGGGGTCCCTTTACCTTTATGATTACACGGATGATTTCTATTGTGCAGTGTTTGGTAGTTGGAATGCAAGGCCATTCTTGTTTGGCACGTACTTGATAAGCGACATGCAAAAGAGATTTGTTGTAGCTCCTAGCGGATACCTGCCAAATCAAAATCCCTTGGCAGGCTCCTATGGTTGCATATGCAACAAAGGACTTTGCTGTTAAGAGTCCTTGCTTTCAGTTCTCGGGCAGATTATTGGTGGAATTAGCACAGATCACAGATGAGAAGTTGGCCTGAGTCCTGGAATATAGGAATATAGGCACCTGCCTTACACTGAGTCAGACCCCTAGTCCATCTACTTCAACGTTGTCTTCACTTACTGGCATCAGGGGTTCAGACAGGACGTTCTCAGCCGTACTTGGAGATGCTGTGTATCTTCTGCATGCAAAGCAGAGGCTGTACCACTGAGCCATGGCTCCTTCCTGAAGTATGGAATGAAAGGTTGGAGAAGGGGTGTGAGCCATAGAACTGAAGACCCAGCCTTGGTCCAAATCCCAGGGCTGAAAGTTCTAGTTGTCTACCTACAAAACCCTTGTTACTTGAGGGTCACCTTCTTTCATGTGAGTCCTCCAAAACACTCTCTCTCTCTCTCTCTCTCTCTCTCCTCTCTCTCCTCTCCCTGATTCTTATTGATTTTCAACAAAATATGATCAGAACATTAGGTTCCCCCCAGTTCCACCAGTGTGAGAGCCAGTGTGGTGTAGTGGTTAAGAGCGATAGACTCATAATCTGGGGAACCAGGTTCGTGTCTCCGCTCCTCCACATGCAGCTGCTGGGTGACCTTGGGCCAGTCACACTTCTTTGAAGTCTCTCAGCCCCACTCACCTCACAGAGTGTTTGTTGTGGGGGAGGAAGGGAAAGGAGAATGTTAACCGCTTTGAGACTCCTTCGGTTAGTGATAAAGCGGGATATCAAATCCAAACTCTTCCAAACTCTTCTTCTCTCTCTCTCCACTCTCCTCTCCCTGATTCTTATTGATTTTCAACAAAATATGATCAGAACATTAAGTTCCCCCCAGTTCCACCAGCCTCCTCCAGGAACAGAAAATTAATGTGTATTCTTTCTTTTTTATTGTAGCGCATTTATTCCCCAAAGGCTGCTCTATTAGAGGGCTGTGACCAGGGAGAGGGATTTATTTGTTTTGTTTTGGCACCTCATATTTGGAACTGCTCCCCTGAAGAAGCTTGCCTAGTGCCAACTCTGATGCCCATTCAGTGCCAGCGAAATACATCATTTGCCCTGGAAGCCCATCATTCTTCACAACTGCTTTTACAGTCGTACCTTGGAAGTCAAAACAGAATCCGTTCTGGAGGTTCATTTGACTTCCAAAACATTCGGAAACCAAAGCACGGCTTCCAATTCGCTTCAGGAAGTTCAGTCATTCGGGTTCTAAAAGAACGTTCGCAAACCGGAACAGTCACTTCCAGGTTTGTGGCATTCGGGAGCCAAGATGTCTGAGTTCCAGGGCATTTGGGATCCAAGGTACGACTGTAGTATCATTTTTGCAGCTCCTCTGGGATCTGCTGCTTTTTATGGCGGCTGCTTTTAATGATTTTAATGCTTGCATTGTACTTACTTTTCAAACGTTCTGCTGCCCCTCGGAGGCTTGTTCTGAAGGCTATAATGTATTTTTAAAAATCAAAACCATGACATTTTGAGGGTCTGAGTTTTGATATTTGAAGGTGGCAATATTGACGTCACAATCTTCACGTTGCCAGCTGCTCATTATACAAACCAGCATTCTTTGAGTCTAGTAATCAATTTATTTTCTTTTTTTCTTTTTGGAAGGGGGGAATTTACTGGCAAATGGCACAAATGTTATGCTTTCATTTGAAAACCTGTAATCTGCTCCAGCAATCTGTTATAGCATATGTAGCGGCTTGGGTGCATGTACCATATTTCAAGCAAGGTTCCAATTACTGAGGTTTTATTCACACCAGTTTTATGCAAATCTGTCGCGAGTGGGTGTCTGTAAGAATCAGTGTCTCGGGCTTATTAGTAAACACTCACTTTGAAGTCAGCTTGGCATCCAGACTACAGAGCAGTGAATAATATCAGATCAATCTGATTTCATTGAAAATGTATGAGGAAATGCCAGGATACAATGTCAAGATTCTTGTTTCCTAATGGCCTTCTATACCAGGGGTAGGCAAACTAAGGCCCGGGGGCCGGATCCGGTCCTATCACCTTCTAAATCCAGCCTGCGGATGGTCCGGGAATCAGCATGTTTTTACATGAGTACAATGTGTCCTTTTATTTAAAATGCATCTCTGGGTTATTTGTGGGGCATAGGAATTTGTTCATCCCCCCCCAATATAGTCCGGTCCCCCACATGGTCTGAGGGACTGTGGACCGGCCTCCTGCTGAAAAAGGTTGCTGACCCCTGTTCTATACAATGGAGACACACTAGCTTGCATGCCTATATTTCTGCATTTTTCTTTTAATATTTAGCAGCTGAGTCATTTTCAGAATTGAGCAGCTTTTCCTATACAGTGGTACCTTGGCTTTTGAGCATCTCAGTAGCCGAACGTTTCGGTTTGTGAACTTTTTTGGAAGCCGAACGTGCTCCGTTTTGAGTGCTGCACTTCCAATTTGAATGTTACGCTTCCGTTCTGAGTGCCACGCTGAGTTCTGTCGAGTCCCGAGCATGCACGCAACACAGAGGTGATATTTGGAGCTTATATTTGGCGCTTTTGTTTTTTGCTATTTATTTTGCATTCTTGTTTTGGGGGCTTTGTCAGTTAATTTGTTTTTGTGACTGTGTGGAACCCAGTTCAATCGTCTCGTTAGATAGTAAAATCCATGTTAAATTGCTGTTTTAGGGGTTGTTTTTCAAAGTCTGGAACGGATTAATCTGTTTTGCATTACTTTCTATGAGAAAGCATGCCTTGGTTTTGGAACACTTTGGAAGTCGAATGGACTTCAGGAACGGATTAAGTTTGAGAACCAAGGTACCAACTTCATGCTCTGTAAATGTACTTACTGCTGCTTTTTTCTTGATTCAAGGGAGTTGTGGCAAGGTCAGGAGAAACAGATTTGGTTGAGCATTAAGAGAGCAGATCAACAATGATGAATATTACCTGGAGGGCGATGATGGTCTCTTCTTCACTGGAGGTCTTGAAGCAGAGGGTAGACTGCTATCAGCTGGAGATATTCTACCTCTGGGTTGCCTGCATCAAGCAGATGTTTGGACTGGCAGATGTCTACAAAGCCCCCTTTCAGTTCTATAATTCTATGACATTTTAAAAAAATGCTTTTTATTAACTTTTTAATACAGCACATAAACACATGACACTTAAGAAACAAACTAAAAAGAAGACACAAAACAAATGACAAACATATAACCATAAATCTGAAAGTTCTTACCCATGGACTGATGTTACCCTATTTTCTATTTCTGATTCTTATTCTATTAGACCTCCTTCCTCCTCAAAGCAGGCCTGATTTCCTGTTTGATAAACTGTTTCTTTCTCATTTCATCACTTCTACCCTTCTCCATATACTATACTTGTAAGCCATATTTTGGTTTTGCAAATATTACTCAAAGCAAGTCTAGGTTTTGATTGGGGGACACTGTTTATTTTAGGTAATCTCCGTACATTCCCCACTCTTTTTGGAATTTCTATAATTCTGTGACATTTTTAATCTACAATGCCAGAATGCACACCTCCTCCTTTTTTATTTTTTAAGTGGCAAAAATCTGTTCTTCCAGTAGCAAAACCACCCCCTGAACAGCAAGGCGCCTCCCCAAAGTATTAAACACAAACAGGACATCAGCACACTATTGCTTATTTAATTGTCTAGATAAGCTAAAGCTTTGGGTACTAGACCCTCTGCAGTTGCAATTTTGTCTCACTCCCTGTCTCTGTATTTACCAAGACAAAGAGTTTTCCCAGCCTACAAATGTTTGTCGATAACCGCAATTCCAAGAACATCTGCGTCTCAGCTGCAATGCAAATGAATATTTGAATATAAGGGGAAAGGCAGTTGGTGCTCGCCATAAACTCTCCCCCTTCTCTTCGCCTCCTGCTGCATCCTATTTTGTCACTAATTCCGCCTGAAGCTGCGCTTCTCCCCACAGAGAAATTGGAAAGAGCGGGAAGCCGCTAACAGCTCCATCAATCCAGCTTCCCCCCAGCCACAGGATGTTGTCACAGATGAACTCTGCAGTAAAGACAGCATTTAGAGAGGGGCATCTACCGGATTGGAAGATTTATGGGCTAAAGCACACATCTCTAGAACACTGTTTCTGTACTGCAAGGTAACCCGGAGGAAAATGCTTCTTGCAATGTGACAGTTTAAAGGAATGCTGTCTTTGCATAGCGTTAAGATTAAATGGAAAGTTCCTAAGATAGCCGCTATTCAGGCGCTTCTCGCTCAATTTAAAGGAGCAGCAAAATAATGCCAGGAGGTTGTCAATTCCATGCTTCTCTTTCTGTTTGCGGAGCAGTCATTAAAAGCGGGCACAGATGCTTATTGCTTTGGAATTTGTTAGTTTGGGATGCTCTCCTATAGGCCTAGTTGATAATGTCTTGCAGGTGTTGGTACAGTAAAGACCAAGGGTACAAGCTACGAAGATGTTCTCCTGCTCTCAAAGGCAGGGTAGGCTTATCAGTCTAGGGGCCACATTTCCACCTTTCACATGCCAGTGGCGGGCAGGGGCAGAGGCTATTATTACAAGGTGTGACCGGAATGTTCCGTGAATGGTCACAGAAATTGGACGGCGAGAAATATTTGAACATACATGCCTTACAGGCCTTCAGAGTAGGCCCTCTCTGATACAATGCAACGTTTGTAGAATATATATATATATATATTATTATTATTATTATTTATACCCAGCCCATCTGGCTGGGTTTCCCCAGCCACTCTGGGCGGCTTCCAACAAAATATTAAAATACAATACTCCATCAAACTTTAAAAGCTTCGCTAAACGGGGCTGCCTTCAGATGTCTTCTAAAAGTCCAGATAGTTGTTTACAGCGGTGCCTCGCAAGACGAAATTAATCCGTTCCGCGAGTCTCTTCGTCTTGCGGTTTTTTCGTCTTGCGAAGCACGGCTATTAGCGGCTTAGCGGCTTTAAGAAAAAGGAAACAAACTCGCAAGAACTCGCAAGACGTTTCGTCTTGCAAAGCAAGCCATAGGGAAATTCGTCTTGCGGAACGACTCAAAAAACGGAAAACCCTTTCGTCTAGCGAGTTTTTCGTCTTGCGAGGCATTCGCTTGCGGGCACCACTGTATTCTTGACATCTGATGGGAGTGCGTGCCACCGAGAATGCCCTCTGCCTGGTTCCCTGTAACCACACTTCTCGCAGTGAGGGAACCGCCAGAAGGCCCTCGGAGCTGGACCTCAGTGTCCAGGCAGAACGATGGGCGTGGAGACGCTCCTTCAGGTATACTGGACTGAGGCCGTTTAGGGCTTTAAAGGTCAGCACTTTGAATTGTGCTCAGAAACATACTGGGAAAACTGTTGGAAACTTCTGGAGAAGTCCTCTCTTCTTACTGCTTTCAGTTCCCTCGTCACAGCAGCTTGGACATGTGAAATGTTGGAAAAATCGGTGCCCTTTCAGTGCAGATTTCAGTTTTGGAAAAAGAAAGAAACCCGGTGGGGCCAGATCAGGAGAATATGGAGGGTGGGACAACTCAGTAACCTCAGGAACGATTTCACGTGGAATATGAAATTCTTCCTCCATCATTCAGATGGACAAACGCCGATCCCGCATCAGTAACTCATGAACTCTGTTGACATTTGCAGCCGTTCTGTTCTCCTGCCAGACTGAGGGTCCTCTTCAATGGTTTGCCGCCCTTCACAGAAGTGCTTAAACCACTCATACACTGTCTTTCGAGTTGCAGCTTTATCTCCGTACACAATTGTGAGCATTTTGTGGGTTTCCGATGCCGATTTACCCAAATTGAAACAGAATTTCGTATTGACTCTCTGCTCCATTTTCAGGCACAACGCACTGCACTATTAACAGCTACTAAACGCTACCGCATGAACGTAGGCCTGCCAACAAATGCAGAGGCGCTTGCGCATACGTTAGCTGAGATACTGTGATGGCCTGGGAGTCGGGCTCAGACTTGGAACCAGAGGACTCTCAGTCTGCACCGGATCCTTTGCCTCAGGCATCATCTGAACCAAGTTGGGGCCTGATCCTGAAGAGTCCCAGTCTGCACAGGTTCCCCTGCAACAAACACCAGCTGGGCCGAGTCAGGGGCCTGAGCCTGCCCTGGCTCCAGATGTGGGGATTACCTCGTTGCCTTCAGCTGGGTCATCACTTACAGCTGCTCCACTACCAGTTTGGTCAGGGGAGGCTGAGGCGACCTCTGGGTCTAGTAACCCACTGACGTCTCCCGAGCTGCAGAGACTAAGGTCTGAGAGAAGGAGAGACCGGAGTACTTGCAGGAGGAGTGCTCGCCTTCAGGCGAAACAGGGAGGTGAGTCGCCGGGGGAGCAGGACCGGCCGCTACCCCAACAAAGATAAAAGGCTGTTGGACCCTGCCCCAGGTTGCGGAAGCAACATTGTTGTATGCCAGATCGTGCCTGAGATCCTGTACCTGTCCTTGCCTGGTTTCCTGCCTCGTGTCCTGTCTTGACCCTGTCAGACTGGCTCCTAGCGGAACCTTCGGATTCTGGACCGGACCTGGACCGCGGTTCTCGGGTTACCCCTGGGCCCAGCACAGTTACGGACAAACGCCTCCCACATGTCTCTGTGAATCCGGCAGTTCCCATTACAGTGGTACTTCAGGTTACATATGCTTCAGGTTACATACGCTTCAGGTTACAGACTCCGCTAACCCAGAAATAGTGCTTCAGGTTAAGAGCTTTGCTTCAGGATAAGAACAGAAATCGTGCTCTGGCGGCGCGGCGGCAGCAGGAGGCCCCATTAGCTAAAGTGGTGCTTCAGGTTAAGAACAGTTTCCGGTTAAGAACGGACCTCCAGAACGAATTAATTACTTAACCCGAGGTACCACTGTATTGCATATAGGGATGATTCACCCTACTTTCCGGTCACACCTTGTATTATTTATTATTATTATTATTATTATTATTATTATTATTATTATTATTATTCCCTTAATCCAAAGATCACCCACAACATGCATCATTGGTGTGTGACATCATGCACGTCACACACATGTGCGTTGACACACAGTCACACGCATCACTGTCACATCGGAAGGAGGCTGAGCGTGGAGCCAAGGGGTTGTGATCAGATCCTGGCTTGTTGGTTTTGCAGCAACTGGCCCTGTGGACGAACTGAGCTCGGCGGAGGGAGGAGAGGGGATGGAGGCATGATGGGACTTGTAGTCCCCGGAGGCTGAACTGAGAGATGTGGCAGAAGCGGCAACCCATTGGGAGACAGCACAGTGGCAGGCCAGGCCAGGGGACAGGGGAATCGTCCTTTCACCTCTGCAAGGAAAAGGCTGACCAGGCCCCCCTCAATATTTGGGGGGCTCAGTCCCATCCCAAGAGAATGCCTGCCCACTGCATTAAACAAAAATTGAAACATGACAGGTGGCTAAAATTTGCACAGGATTTTGCCTGTGACAGAATGACACAGGGTCCTGGATTCAAATCCTAACGCGAGTCATTTTCAGTCTCAGTGCCCCATCTGTCAAGTGACCTGTTATCACAGATCCTAATAGTTGGGCTAGAACGATGGAGGCGATAGAGTAACCTGGTCTCAACCAGTCATGCCAAAAACTGGGAACATGACATCAATAACTGCTCCACAATTGTCGAGGATTTACTGTTGAGCCTGGAAAGAGACTGTAACCCACATCTGGGTCTGCGTGTTCCAGCTTGCCCCTCTTGTTCCCACACTTAATAAGAAGCTATTGATGCCAGCAGAGTTCAGAAAAACTTGCTGCTGCTAACCGCTTTGCTGTGTTACACAATCCAGCCCAAAGTTAAGCAGGTTTAATCTCTGTTCGTCTCCAAAGGAGGGAGTGAAGCGCATGCCTTGAATGCAATGGAACTTAGATCACATCCACACCATAAATCAAGGCATATGACTTCACCCAAAAAGGTTCTGGAAATTATCTGTTGGGGTGCTGGTAACTGGAGTGCATGTAAGGGTAAACTATAGTTCCCAGAATTATTGGGAGAACCCGAGGTGCTTTAAAGGTGCCAAGTGTCCCTATTTTCCAGGGACAGTCCCGGATTTACAGAAGCTGTCCTGGTTTCTGATTTGATCCCAGAATGTCCCGCTTTCTCTTAGGACGTCCCTATTTTCATTGGAGAAATGTTGGAGGGTATGGAGTTATGCAATCCCCGAGCCAAAGCGATAAGTAGCTATACAACATTTAGAAAATTTATGAAGGCAGCCCTGTATAGGGAAAGCTTTTAAAAGTTTTATTGAATTTAAATATGTTGGAAGCTGTACAGAGTGGCTGGGGCAACCCGGTCAGATGGGTGGAGTATAAAATGGCTGTTGTTGTTGTTGTTGTTGAATAGGACGTCCTTATTAAGCATAGCTGTCAACTTACAGATTTGAAAACAAGGGACCAGCAGCCAAAATAAGGGATTTTCAGAGCACAGGTATGTTCAGCTTCTGAGCCCCTCTGAGACAAAGGCAGAAAGCCCAGCCAGCAGCCAACCGAAGCCTCAAGCGGTGGTTCCCACAGCGCAGCAACCCGGCAAAGGGGATGCAGCAAGGAAAACCACCATCACCTCTCCGCTGGGAAGCGCTGAGCAAAGGCAAGTCCCCAGGCAATGTGGCCGGGCACAAGGCATGCAAGCTCCACCCCCCAGTCGTTCTTAGACTCCTTATTGGGTGAGCAATGCAGACAAGCAACAGAGTTGGAGCCTCCCTCCTCCCTGGCCGGCAGGGAGGGAGGGAGAGGAGCTGCTTCCTTTGAAACCCAGGAAATTTAAGGGACATCATCAATAAGGGACAGCAGCAGGACATAGCGCTGGGATAAGAGACTGTCCCGCCAAATAAGGGACGGTTGACAGCTATGGTCCTTATTTTCCTCAGAGAAATCTTGGAGCGTTTGTGACTTCCAGTGTGGTGTAGTGGTTAAGAGTGGTAGACTCGTAATCTGGGGAACCGGGTTCGCGTCTCCACTCCTCCACATGCAGCTGCTGGGTGACCTTGGGCTAGTCACACTTCTTTGAAGTC